ATCTTGTTCCCTAGGTTTTGTACATATGTCCGGGAATGCAAACAAAATAGTAGCATCGTGTTCAGCAGCGAGCGGTCGCACGTCTTGCGGTGGGAGTGTACGGAGTAGGAAATTCATTCGTAATACTGCGCAGAGGTATAACAAAAGCCACGTTGCTTGGCGCAAAGGAAGTTTCGTGACGAAGTTGTCCAGCTTCGCCCTTTCGCCAGCCATGGTCGCCCAAAAGTTACTAACTCGTTGGTGTATCCCGCGGTGCCGAATGCCAAAATCTTGATGCCTCTTCAAGCGGTTCGACGCATCCCCACGCAAGAGCAACCGGACCTACCAAATCGTTAGGGCATGGTATTGGTGTATTGCCTCAGATTACCAATTTGCCGACATTCGTATCGATGTGGTACACATCGCGCCATGTTTGCTCCGTAAGCTGTAGTACGTAGGACACCTTATCTGGATCACATACGGGGTACACGCCGTCAAGGTAGGCTAATACTTCCGCCCCCGGTGGAAGACGATCGCGAATGCGAAATAATGCGGGATGGAGGGCCATGCAAAATAGCGCTGGCATCAATGCGTCAATTTGCTCTCTTCCGTCACGTTTGTATATATTCCGCGCATTTGCGCACAAAAGGTATGAGATGGTGGAAGGAGGGCTGTGTCCCGTTGGAACTCTTCGAACACGCATGTCCGGCCTACGTGAAAGCCCCCACGCCATCAATGTTGACCACCACTTTCTGAGGAAAATTGTGACGAAGCGTTAAAAATGGATTGTAGAATCCTTCCCACTTCGATTCGCAAATCCGAAATTATGCGCCATACTGCATTCTGTAATTATTCCTGGAATTATCGGGACCAATCTTCGAAAGATGTCTCCTGATGCAATGCCCCGGATCCTGTTGTTGGTTTCTGTTAGTGTTGTGAGCGCGGAAATCTTCATTGTATCTCGTATTTTCACTCGGCACATCTGCCTTTGCTACTTTTTCCGTCGCGTCATACAATGCGAGGGTGGTTGCTGGGACTGGTTTCCACACGCTGATGCCCATAAATGTGCATATGTTGGCTGGAAGGCGGCGGGTTGGGGCGTCCGTCGGGAAAGCGTTGGCGTTTATCAGGTCGGCGGGAAGGCATCGTCTTGGGAGGGGGGATTGGTCCTAACTTGGATGGAGCGTGCGTTCGTGTCAATGACAATGGTCCCGAAAATCGAGGGCCTCACCCTTAGGTAATCAAGAATCGATTGATTTTGGATCCATGTGGGGCCTCAGGAACATTAGGAATGAAAGGTGGGCCTCTCCGCCAGGGGTTGGTGATCGCGGAACCGGCGTTCCTGGGGACAGAGGGGGAGTGTCATTTTCCTGCTCTTGGTCACCATGGGGAAGCTGAGGGGCCACGATCTGTTCTGGAGTACGGGGTCTTTGCGGCGGCGGGTACTGTTCACCCCTGCATGGCGATAAAGGTGCAGCAAAAAGGCTATGGGGCGCACAGGGAACCATAGGGTGGATGGACGAACGGGACAGTAACATTGGGGAGGTGGAGAAACAAACAGGCGGATACCGTAGTTAGCGGGACGTCGTAGGGTTGGTCACGTCGTAGTAGTTGTCGTTGTTTTGGTGCGAACGATGCCGTCCCGCACGTTTCGCGGACAAGATATAAGTTTCACGCCACATAATTGTTATTCTACTTTGCACAAAGAAACATGACTAGCCATCGTTATTTATTCACGACACCTCAAAACATTCAAATACCACATTCATAACCATTTTCGCGGTTGCGCCGACAAGAATCAATAAACGGAAATTCAAAAACACAAGAAAAAATAACAGCCTGAATTACGAAAAATGCATTCAAAAATAAATAATAATGATCGCATCAGAGCAACACATAAAAACAATTTTTTTTCCTCCTCGGCGACGCGGAAAACATTTAACAAGAACGGAACGCGGCACGCATCGCACATGAACTTGGCGAACCGTGTGCGGCTCCTGTCTTACTAGTAAAAAGCGCAGGGCATTCCGAGAGATGATGTTCCGAGAGATACATTCAAAAACCCCTCAGGCATATACCACGAATTTCTCATGACGCCCCGCGAACTCTCAAGAAACCTTCTCCTCTTCCTCCTCAATTTCTCCTTCCCTTCTTTTCCTTCCCGTCCTCCTCCTCCTCCTCTTCCTCCATGCGCGGCAGAAGCGAAAACATTAGCGGTACAACGCACACGGCTGGAATGAGAAGCGGCGCGCTTCGCGCGCTGGACATAATAATGCCGACGATGCAACATGAGAAGCCACAATGAAGTGCGGCATACATCGCGCGCGGTCTTGTTTCTCGTCGATATTGCTCAATACGCGGCAAGAATAGGATACAAGAAATGTCGCGCGTTGCGCGTCTACCCGCCCAAAATATAAGATGAACAGCATCGGACGCGACACACTTGCCTTTTGTTGTGGGAAGACCGGTGAAACTAGACAGAACCTTTTGGCTCGTTCGAGCTAGTTAACTTACCCTCTACCCCTTCCCCTGGACTTGGGGGAAAGCCGCGAGGTGTCGGAACGTCCAAAACGGCCTTAACGAGAAAGTCAAAATCATTGGTTTGATTTGTGTTTTGGCTCCGTTCTCCAGCCAATTAGAAACCCCTTCTTTAATCGATCTCTTCCGAGGCCCACGAGCGCTCCCAAGGCTCCCAAAGGTGTCCCAAGAAACTCCAAGAGGCCCCAAGACCGCTCCAAGACGGCTACAAGTGGCCAAAGCCCCCAAGAGGCCCCGAACAATCCCAAATCCTTCCAAAACTTTAGGAGAATACATGTTTTTGGTTTTCTCGCCGAGGCCTCAAGATGGCCCAAGAGTGCTCTCCAAGAGCGCTCCAAATGCTCCGAAGAGCACTTCAAGAGACCCCGAAGAGGTGCCCAGGCGGCCCCAGGAGGCCCCAACAGGCGCCCAACAGGCCTCCAAGAGGCTCCCAGAGACCTCCCAAAGGCCCCAAGAAGCTCTGCGAGGCACCCAAGACGCTCTAAGAGGCGTCCGGGGCCGCCAAAAGGCTCCCAATACGCTCCAAGAGGCCTCCACTGGGGGACCCTTCCTCTGTGTGCTGCTGCCCACTTCCCTGATCGAGGCAATTCCTCTGGGCATCGTTTCTGGATGGAGTGTTTAGGATTAAATTGCCGATCTCTGTAAATATTTTTGTGTTACATCTGTCAGGGGAACCGTGGTTTCAATAACACACACACACGAACTTCAATGATATAACCTTACCGTCTCAACAAAAAAAAGTACAACATTAATACTTAAGATAATGAAAACATGACTTTTCCAAATAACGCATTTCAGCGAGTCGTTTTTTTATTTGGCAAGGTACACGGCTTCGGTACCAAAGCAACAATACGATACAAAAGATTGGCCTCACGTGTGGCGTACACCGACGAAGACCCACCCCACTCGGACGACAACGAAATTCCCCACCCTACTCGGATGACGACGAATCCCCACTCGGACGACCACGAAATTTCCTCCTTGTCCACTCTTTGTTCTGGCAAACGCCCAAGTGGGGATGTCATGTCGGGACATCTGAATTTTAGGACCTCCGCACTGCACGTTCTGAAGTGACTAGGAAGTCAAAGACGCAAACAAACAACTCACAATATCTCCACCCACCGCACCCAGCAAGATCACCGCAAGTTCAGGTCCCACGACCTGGTGCCAGCTAATTTATGTCGGCTCGATCTTATTATTCACGATTTATTGGTGGCTCACGGTATGTGGTGCCTTGTTTTGCGATGTCTGTGTTTTGCCCCGATGCCACGCAATGGCAGACCACATCTAGGGACGAATCATACATATGGCCGTTTGTTAACGAAACGAAGAACGCACACATAACACTACATACCACGAGGTTGCGTCGAAGGGACGGTTTTTCCATCACAAACAACAGCGAACTCCGAACAGCCAGCGGTCGATGACGCAATGAAATCAGCGAAGGTGTAAACGGCACCAAGAAGGAACGCTGAAGCTCTGAGCGGAGCGAGTGGAGGAGGTAGAGGCCTCCCAGATGGGGTTGGAGTAGATGGGGTCGGAGGATCGCGCTGCATCTCCGATACGTCGGCAATGCAGTCAGGCGTCCAACCACACTTTGGTAGGCAATCGGTCGGGACCTCCTTTCCCGTCCAGTTGCCCGACTCCGTCCGACGCGATGGCAGAGGCTAGAGCGTCTTGGCTTCTCCATGGGAGGCTGAAGACGAACGACGCCTGCGTAGACTGGACAGAGAAGCAGTGTCACCACCGAACTGTTTTCTCCTCCTGTGCCTCCAGAGCGCGCCCCAAGACAACACCGAAAACACGAGGTCCCAGAGGGGGTGAAAAGCTGGAACTGAACATACGGGGCAAAACAAACAAAAGAGAAGGATGTATTTGACAATCGGCTTACGGCCACCAACAAACACATCGCAACGATTTGCTTGTTTGGGGATGCCAGCAAGGATGGCAACACCACACGGCTACACCACTGGAGCGGGCCCTAACAAAATTGCTACAAGTGCTGGCACCGCCCGGGGCCGCCGAAATGCAGCAAACACAACCCAACAAAGTCCGGGTGCACTCTTACATGTTCCCTTTTGCATAACTGTGGCTTTTCATGTTCAATTTTTCGTTTCGGCGATAACGCAGGTTATCCCGACAACCTAACCTTCTCGCTCTGGGCAGCCGCAGGGATATCTGCGCGCACCAGCACTGCGTACACCCCCATCGGACCTGCGCATCCGACAAAGTCAGGCTGTCTGGGGGAGGCTGTGCGGGGCGGGGCCGAGAACCCGTGTTGTCACCAGACCCTTGACCAGAGAATCTCCTAACAATGCTGGGCTCACGATGCGCAGCATTTTTTTTTCTCCTTTCTCCCCCTAGAACGATGACAACTGCCGGCTTCCCAACTGATGGGAAGAGGACTCCACCAAGCAGAAAATTCTGGCTTACGATGCGCAACAACCTAAAAGCTTGTGCTGACGATTGGGAGCTGCGCGCTG